AAAAAAAAACTTTTAGTACAAAAGTTGTAGCAAATTTTATTCTGAGCAATATTGCTCTCTTGCACTTTTACTTTTAGATGCGTCAATATCGAGAAAAATACGAAAATATGAAAATTTGATGAATTTGTTGCTTTTGCAAGTACTCAATGGTAGTACTCTGGAAACGAAGCATTTAAAGAAAAAACTTTTAGTACAAAAGTTGTAGCAAATTTTATTCTGAGCAATATTGCTCTGTTGCAGTTTTACTTTTAGATGCTTCAATATCGAGAAAAATACGAAAATATGAAAATTTGTTGCTTTTTTAAGTTGTCAATGGTAACATTCGGGAAGCGAAGTATGTTATAAAAAAACTTTTGGCACATTAGTTATTGCAAATTTTATTCTTAACAATATTGCTTTCTTGCACTTTTACTTTTAGATGCGCCAATATCGAGAAAAATACGAAAATATAAAATTTGGATGAATTTTTGGTTTTTCAACTTGTTAATGGTAACAGTTCAGAAACGGAGCGTGTTATAAAAAAACTTTTAGAACAATAGTTATTGCAAATTTTATTCTTAACAATATTGTTCTCTTGCACTTTTACTTTTAGATGTGTCAATATCGAGAAAAATACGAAAATATGAAAATTTGATGAATTTGTTGCTTTTGCAAGTACTCAATGGTAGTACTCTGGAAACGAAGCATTTAAAGAAAAAACTTTTAGTACAAAAGTTGTAGCAAATTTTATTCTGAGCAATATTGCTATCTTGCAGTTTTACATATAGATGCGTCAATATCGAGAAAAATACGAAAATATGAAAATTTGATGAATTTGTAGCTTTTGCAAGTACTCAATGGTAGTACTCTGGAAACGAAGCATTTAAAGAAAAAACTTTTAGTACAAAAGTTCTACAAAATTTTATTCTGAGCAATATTGCTATCTTGCAGTTTTACATATAGATGCGTCAATATCGAGAAAAATACGAAAATATGAAAATTTGATGAATTTGTAGCTTTTGCAAGTACTCAATGGTAGTACTCTGGAAACGGAGCCTTTAAAAAGAAAACTTTTAGTACAAAAGTTGTAGCAAATTTTATTCTGAGCAATATTGCTATCTTGCAGTTTTACATATAGATGCGTCAATATCGAGAAAAATACGAAAATATGAAAATTTGATGAATTTGTAGCTTTTGCAAGTACTCAATGGTAGCACTCTGGAAACGGAGCATTTTAAGAAAAAACTTTTAGTACAAAAGTTGTTGCAAATGTTATTCTTAGCAATATTGCTCTCTTGCAGTTTTACTTTTAGATGCTTCAATATCGAGAAAAATACGAAAATATGAAAATTTGTTGCTTTTTTCAGTTGTCAATGGTAACATTCGGGAAGCGAAGTATGTTATAAAAAAACTTTTAGAACAATAGTTATTGCAAATTTTATTCTTAACAATATTGCTCTGTTGCACTTTTACTTTTAGATGCGTCAATATCGAGAAAAGTACGAAAATATGAAAATTTGATGAATTGAAATTTGTTGATTTTTCCGATCCAACTTAAATATATGACAGCGCCATCTATCGGTCATCAGGTAAATTTTAAGCTGTGCCATCTATCCATCATCAGGTCAATTTTAAGCTGTGCTATCTATCAATCATTAGGTAAATTTTAACAATGGCCGCGTGTAGATTTAAATAAAGTCCCTAGATTTACAAAGTACCGCGGTTTGACGCCATTTTGGCTCGAAAGTCAAGCGGGAAATTTAAAACTATGTTCTATTGATAACATTACGTCAAATTTCCTTTCTTTTTTTCTCATGGTACTCTGAAGAGACGAAAGTCCTTTTTACTGCCGTTTTTGCAACTCCAAAGGTAACAAGACGGCAATATTTTTGTAAATAAGTGGTGAGATGCAGTGACAAGTTGTCAAACCGCCATTTTGGCTCGAAAACAGGCGTCATGAACCGCGGTACTTTGTAAATTTAGGGACTTTAGATTTAAAAATATGACAGCGCCATCTATCGATCATCAGGTAAATTTTAAGCTGCGCCATCTATCGCTCATCAGGTAAACCACCCCCTTTTTAGTTTCACTACACGCCACCAGATGGTGCCGCATGAATTTTGAATTTCCCGTGCTACGACGTGACGTCACTTACTGCGCATGCGCGGGGAGCAACATTCCCTTGCGGTTATTAACAGCGTGTTTGATCGTGTTCCAGGTATATAAGAAATCCAGATAGACTAACAACACAACACTTTTTTTTACTGTAATGATTTATATTTACCTAAACATGCATTTCCTTGAGGTTCACTTTTATATTTCCAATCTAATTGGGATAATTGTAAATAAGCTGCCATTATTGGGACATCTGAAATTTCAGTTTCATCTCCTCCAGCTTCTAAAAGCAAAACGTTCCAATTCTCTTGCTCTGTTAATCGATTTGCAACAACGGCACCTAAATCACAACATTCTTTTTAAATTTTTTAATTAAAATGGATAAATTTTACCTGCTGATCCCGCCCCAATCACAATAAAATCATAAACACTTTCCATTGAATCCGTGTCGGTATCAATCGGTCTTGATTCTGGGTCCATCATATCGTATTGGAAATAAGCAATAGCTGCGACTAAAGCTGGAAGGAAAACTCCCATATTTGAAGCAGCCGCGGCTCCCAAACCGACTAAAGGGGCTGTTAAAGCACTCATTTCGTCCAATTAATTTAATTCATTAATAAAGTAACAAAACACTTTCACTTATGTCACAAAACGTTTAAATATTAACAAATTTAAAATGAATTTTTTGTAAAAACTTTTAAGGGAGACTTTTAAGATACCACTCGTATCGGTAGTGAACTTGACAGTGAGGTAATTGAGGCATTCCGAAGGAAACCGCAGTGTGTGTGTCGGTCAGACACCGCTAACCCAGCAACTCTTCTACATTGTTGACCCACTTTCAACGGTTGAAGACGTTCTCGGTCTCTTTAAGGCACTTAACGGTTACGATTTAATGTTAAATCACAGTTTTAATTTAGAAATTCATAAATTTATAACTGTTATTTATTAATTAATATACTCAACGAAGCAAATTTTCGAAAATATATTCAATTTAATTCATAGAAAAGTAAAAATAAAAATAAAATTTAAAACGAAAACGAAAATGTGTTAATAAATAAGTTGGTAAAGCTACGTTTCTCGCTGCACGTAGACAGTGAAAAGACTAACGGTGAAGCAAAAAGAAAGTTATTGCGAGTAATTTATGTTTTTAGATCGACTAAATTAAATTTTGTTGTTTCAAAAACTAAGGTATTTGCGTTTATAACGAAACGCACCAAGTTTTTAATCTATATATGAGTTGATTTTGCTATTTTTCAAGAGATGGCGCTTAATGAAACATAAAAATTTTTTTCAAAAATCTCTAACTTTTTTATTCCATTGCCAAATTTTTATTGCGTGGTTTCATCGTGTTCTATTAACCATTTTATACATTTTAAGATCAAGAAAATCGCAGTTTTGTTCATTTTTTGAACTAAATTTGCTAAATCAAGTTATAAATTACAGTCGAAATATCGATACTTCTCTGTTTGAGATTAATAAGAACAAAATGGTTGTCAGTGTATGTCTATTAGGTTACTAAGTACAATGGGGGCTGAAAACTTCAAAACTTTATCAAATCTAAGTTTTAGAATCTCGAATTAAGGAGTAATAACCTCACTTTAATACAACGTTGCAAATGCATCTATAATTGTTCGTCTTAAGGTCTCTGAGTCTATAAAATAATGATGAATTAATTTAAAAATCTAAAAAGTGTTAAAAAATCTCAGAAAGTTCCAAAAATAGGCAAACAGTATGTGACAAAAACTGTCAAAATGTGTTCAAAGGTGCCCTAATATGTCAAAAAGTGTTGAAATATGTAAAATAATCTAAAAAGTATTAAAAAGTTTGAGAAAGTTCCAAAAACCGTCAAACAGTATGTGGCAAAAATTGTTATAATGTGTCAAAAAATGTCAAAAAGTATTTACAAATTCCTAATCGTCCCAAAGAACTTCTGTTTCTTTTACTATTGCTCTCAGTTGTGTCAATACTGAGAACAATACGAAAATATGATGAATTTATTGTTTTTCAAGTTGTTAATGGTAACACTTTGAAAACGGAACACGTTATAAAAAAACTTTTAGAACAAAAGTTGTAGCAAATTTTATTGTTAATAATATTGCTCTCTAGCACTTTTACTTTTAGATGCGTCAATATCAAGAAAAATACGAAAATATGAAATTTTGATGAATTTGTTGCCTTTTTTGGTTGTTAATGGTAACATTTTGGAAACGAAGCATGTTATAAAAAAACTTTTGCAACAATAGTTATTGCAAATTTTATTCTTAACAATATTGCTCTCTTGTACTTTTACTTGTAGATGCGTCAATATCAAGAAAAAAACGAAAATATAAAATTTTGATGAATTTGTTGCTTTTTCAAGTGGTTAATGGTAACACTCGGGAAATAGAGCATGTTATAAAAAAACTTTTCGAACAATAGTTATTGCAAATTTTATTCTTAACAATATTGCTCTCTTGTACTTTTACTTGTAGATGCGTCAATATTGAGAAAAATTCGAAAATATGAAAATTTGATAAATTTTTGGTTTTTCAAGTTGTTAATGGTAACACTCTGGAAACGGAGCATGTTATAAAAAAAATTTTAGAACAAAAGTTGTAGCAAATTTTATTGTTAATAATATTGCTCTCTAGCACTTTTACTTTTAGATGCGTCAATATCAAGAAAAATACGAAAATATGAAATTTTGATGAATTTGTTGCCTTTTTTGGTTATTAATGGTAACATTTTGGAAACGAAGCATGTTATAAAAAAACTTTTGCAACAATAGTTATTGCAAATTTTATTCTTAACAATATTGCTCTCTTGTACTTTTACTTGTAGATGCGTCAATATCAAGAAAAAAAAGAAAATATAAAATTTTGATGAATTTGTTGCTTTTTCAAGTGGTTAATGGTAACACTCGGGAAACAGAGCGTGTTATAAACAAACTTTTCGAACAATAGTTATTGCAAATTTTATTCTTAACAATATTGCTCTCTTGTACTTTTACTTTTAGATGCGTCAATATCGAGAAAAATACAAAAATATGAAAATTTGATGAATTTTTGGTTTTTCAAGTTGTTAATGGTAACACTCTGGAAACGGAGCATGTTATAAAAAAAATTTTAGAACAAAAGTTGTAGCAAATTTTATTGTTAATAATATTGCTCTCTAGTACTTTTACTTTTAGATGCGTCAATATCAAGAAAAATACGAAAATATGAAATTTTGATGAATTTGTTGCCATTTTGGTTGTTAATGGTAATATTTTGGAAACGAAGCATGTTATAAAAAATCTTTTGCAACAATAGTTATTGTAAATTTTATTGTTAACAATATTGCTCTCTTACACTTTTAC